ATAGTAATATAATGCAACAACGTTCAAACTAAAGCCACAAATTGAATTCATTAGAATAGGAGAGAGAGAGAGAGAGAGAGAGAGAGAGATCTTCTCGCATAGTTGATGAACTACAGTTTATTGTTTACAGGTGTTATGACTAGATGAAATATCTGTCTAATAAGATTGTAATACTGTTTCTCAGGTTTAGTTGTGATAACCGGGATGCTGATCACAACCTGTTTAATGCCCCTAATAATTACTCTACTATGGAAAAAGGGTATCTTCATCGCAGCATGCTTTGCAATCTCTTTTGGGTCCATTGAAGCTCTGTATTTCTCCGCTTGCCTTTCAAATTTCTTGAAGGGAGCATGGATAATTGTTATTCTTTCTTTGATCTTAATGTTTACCATGATATCCTGGCACTATGGTTCCACAAAGAAATACCAATATGATCTGGAAAATAAAGTCTCGATTAAGTGGCTCACCAGTTTAGGCCCTAGCCTTGGAGCGGTCCGAGTACCAGGAATTGGTTTTATATACACCGACCTTGTAACAGGAATACCAGCCTTCTTCTCTCACTTCATCATTAACATTCCAGCTTATCATCAGGTGCTTGTCTTTGTGTCCTTTGTCTCAGTTCCAGTACCTTACATACCTCCAGACAAGAGACACCTTATAGGCAGGATTTACCGGAAAGAATATAGAGTGTACAGATGTATTATCAGATATGGGTACTTAAACACAATTTTTTTTGTTCTTGTGCAATAATCTTGTCATTGATTGCTTGTGTTGTTTTTTGTTATTTGTCCTGAAAATTTTTAAATTTTATGGTTTCTTTCGCTTAAAGGAAGTATGCAATGTCACTTTCTCGTGCAAATTTTCAGGTACCGTGACAATGTCAAAGACTCCAATGACTTTGAGGATCAACTCATTTTTAAGCTTGGTGAGTTTATTTCCACAGAGGATATGGGTTTAGAATTGAATTCACATGTAGAAGGTAGAGTGACTGTGGTGGGGGACCAGAAACAGATCAAGGCTGGTTTGATCCCAATAGATGAGGCAGATCTGAATCTTGGTGACCCGAGTTTCGTAGATAGAGAAAATGGAGATACCCAACTGAGAGATGATCAGTTACAGTCTGCTATTGTCCCCGTCAAGAGAAAGAAAGTGCGATTTGTGCTGCCTCCTGAGAGCCCTGAAATGCCTGCATCTGTGGTAGAGGAGCTTCAGGAATTGTTGGATGCTAGGGACTCAGGGACCGCATATCTTTTGGGTCACTCTCGCTTCGTGGTGCGAAATGGATCTAATCTTCTAAAGAAGCTTCTGATTTTAGTTTACATTTTCCTAGAAAGGAATTGCAGGGGACCTTTGGTGGCTCTTGACATTCCTCATGTTGCACTTCTCAAGGTTGGTACCCTTTACACTATTTAAATTGAAGTTTATGTGCCTTGGTGTTATTTCAGTCGCTAAAGTACAGACAGTATGTGAAGAAAGATGAATGGAGTTTGGTCTGTTTTCCCTTGAGAATTGAAACATTATGTTACGTCTGTATGTTTTGTGTAAAATAAATGTAAATTCTACCCTGATGAAGACTTAGTAAATGGTTTTTGGGAGGAGACATCAAAGTTTAAGTGCCAGTTTTATCTACACATGATATGAGAGTTTTTGTATTGTTTACAATAGCGTTTTATGAGTGCTAAAATCAAGACAGTATTTCTTTAGAAGCTAAATTTTAGGAGCTTCGCATCAGTAGCATGGGTTTGCTGCACATGCTATAAGGCATCTATACTACAGGTTCATCTCCACTGTTCATCCTCGATGACGGACCGAGCAATGACCTGTTCCTTTACCTTAAGTCCGTCGTTGTCCATTAAATGTTTCATCTCCACTACCTATCATTGAGGTGAGTCTACATGGTCCATGCCATATATTAGTGTATAGTATGCGTATCTGCTCTATGCAAAGGCGGACAAGGTGGCGGGTGCCACAACCTGACATCCGTTCGCACCAGGTCCTGAGTAAACAATATGAAAAGAGCATATCTATCCTTTAATTATGATGTCATCGTTATTGTAAGCCAGTAGCATGCTTCAAAAGTTCCATTAGCATACTTCAAACGATAAGTAATTGCTTGAGAATTTTGCAAATGAATCTGAGATAAATTAGAAACAGAAAATCAAAAGGACATCAAATAAGATTCTCGATTTGCGAAAATGTAACTACACATGAAATCAAATTATCTCCGTCCTGTTGAGGTCTTCCGACCTGAGTTTCTCATGGTTGAGAGAGAGAGAGATATATACATATATTTCTTATTTGATATGTGCAAATGCATTGCGTGCACAAACGGTTACACACTAGTGGTCCATAGTCCATGGTCGACAGTACCAGTAACTTAAAACATTGTTGACTATCAAGGTTAAATAGAAGAAGAACCAGCGGTATGCCAATCTACAGTGCAAACATAATCCAGTATCCAAAAACATGGTGTATCCTATAGGAGATATTTCTGATTAGGTTTAGTCACCCCTAGAATCAATTCCATAATTAAAAAAAGAGAAATTTATCAAAATACACATGGGAGATGAACTATTTAACAATTTACTCATATAACTTGATTTAATTTCAAAATATCCATTCCAAGGTACATGATTATGAGTTGGAATTGTTGCAAGTGTGTAAAATGTTAACTAGTGCATCTTTAATGGATAGTTTGATGAATTTCCCGTAAAAATGATTTGGAGCTTAAAACATTCTCAAAATAAGTTCCCCCTTAAAGAAGGATCTTGAATGATCAATTTGAATGTCGATCATTTCTAAAAGTTTTAAGAGTTCCAAAAGCATTTTGTTGTGTTCTTTCTTTCTTTTCCTTTTTTTTTTGCCTTTTTTTGGGGAACTATAGACAGTGAATCAACGATGGATACAGATCACAAGAAAACTCCTTACCATGTATTTAGGTATTCTGAACATGGGTAAAAACTGGTCTCGAGTCGCGATCGACACCCGCTTTAAGAAGCGGCATTAAACACTTTTATATCAGCAAAGGAGTCTTAAGTGTGATAATTGTTTTTTAAAATTGTGCAGAGGGTACAACTGAATAGGTATTCAGCTTAATTCCTGTAGCAGGTGACCACTATTGTCGTAATGGTTATAACAATATTTTGAACATTGATGGACCACCATGATGGCTCCCTCGCAATTAAATTTTTATGCACCTACATATTTAGTTCAACACCTTATCACAGCAATGCAAATTAGCACAGAGTTTTTCATTTGGAAAACTTCTGTTTTCTTGAGTTTTTCTCTCACTGTGCAATCAAGTAACCAATGTTTACAATTGCTTTTTCGTAACCAATGTTTACAATTGCTTTTTCCATTTACAATAGAGTGTATTCATCTGGCTTGCTTGAAATAATTTTTGAAGCAGTTTCACCACTAAACCTGCTCCACCTAATCCATAAAGAAAACATTCTGCTAATATTTTTTTTATATTTTCAAGTTATGTTGAATCTCAGCTGCGCAACATTGAAAAATATAGTTTTGGTGCTGGAAAAATCTTCAAATTAATCATTTCGACTACAACACATATGGATCTGAAAGAGAAATTAGATTTCAAGCTCTAAACATAGTATTTCTTGTAATACATTACTTTCCAGTACTCATAGGTTTGCCAAATCTGTATCAGTAATATCATATGATTTTTCAACTCTGAAACTGCATTTTTTAATCGGGTCTTTGAGGCGTGCTTTATTTTTATCATATATGCCGCATGCAAACCACCCATATATGCCGCATGCAAACCACCCATATATGTTCAGATCGCATCTCAGTCTGTTCTTGCAATGACAATAAATTCCCAAGCTAATTCGAACTTTATGAATCATTTAAATCAGAAAGATAGAAAAACATGATCGAATATATGAACAAAATTGTTGTGTGTTGTAATCTTTCTTGTTTATATTTGATTTCAGCATTTCTTTCCTGGTCTCATGAATGGACAATTATACTGAAATAAATATTAAAATCTTCAATTGTTAGCTTCTCAAGTTTAATTTCATTTGTACAAGGAACTCGGTTAATTGGATTAGTAAAATCTTATACCAAGTTAGCAACCCCAAGTGCTTTAGACTGCACTTAAGTCATGAAAATACCCAGACCCTATTAGAAAGAACAAAACACCATTATCAAAAGCTCCATCAAAGAAATCTCATGTCCTCTTCCCAATCCAGTAGGGAAAATTTCACATGCAAGCATATCTTTCCCTTGTCCATGTCTAGCTTAGCACCAGTGACTAGCCAATGCCCCGGACTATCACGAGGCCCCTTGCACACATGCGAAGCATCCACAAACCTCAAAAGCTTTTGTGCGTCATTGGGCACCGGTGGCCCTGTCGGAAATACTCCTGAGTCCACAACAATTGGCTCCTTAGGCTTTTCTTGGTAACTCGAAAACGAAGAACTGACTGATGAGAGAAATCCCGACTTCCGGGAAACCACCGTCCCACGTTCCCAAACCGACCTTCTTACATGGCAATCGGAAACCAGTCGAAACATTAGCCTTAGGTGAAGAACACTCTTGGCTTGATGCTTTGTCACTTGAAGTTGTGCTCCGGTGACTACATAAGCACCACCTTTTGGTGTGGTGGTCCAGTCAGGATTATACTTAACTGGTGCTGTGCACACATGGGAGAAGGTCCTCCTTTGGATCGCCTCAAGGTATTGAGAATTGCCCTCAATTGAACCTTGCCACATGGTCGTGTCGTTGAATCGGTTCTCAAGTGTCGGTGTCGTGTTTCTGAGATGTTCGAGGTGGATTGCTAGCCTGTGACAAGTTTGGTTATTTTTAGCCATAGCACGGGTGGAAGCTCGACGTTTAAGGGTATTTTGGTTGTTTTATAAAACAATGACATTAGATTGGAGAAACCAATTCAAAGTGGGTTTATCCAATATTTTGAAACTCTCATCTTGCCCTGACCAAGTCGAGTTACTTGGGAGAGTTTTAGTGGCGCACACGGCTAAAAGCCTATAAAATCAGTAAATTGGTTAACATAAACAAAACCCAAAACAATATAAAAAGTGAGAATGGGCTGGGGCTTTGGCGGCAGTACCAACGAGCTCTATGATGAAGTCTCTTACTCCATTATCATCAAAGGATAGGGGCCTAAATCCCCAATGGCTTACTCTTTATAGAAAAAAAACTTGGCTAAATTGGTTTGCGTTTGATGATTTGCAACGCTACTTTCTATGTTCAGTTTCTACCGAATTGGAGATATTTCAAAAAATTCCAAAAGAAAGATGAAATATAAGAACATGGGATATGACAAAAAAAAAAAAAAAACTCAAATCATTGTCTAAAGCATCAAAATTATATATAAGATATTTTTATATTAATTCCACCATAATATAAATTTTATGTTTTTGTAATTTTTTAAAGGTGTGGTTTCTATAAGGTTGCAACCTTAAACAATCCAATTACGGCGCACCTCCAAATTTTATCATAACATGTAATTTTATTGTAAAACATTATTAGGATTATCTTAAAATCTATTTTCATATCTAATTAGAAAATTTTAAACTCCAAAAAGAGTTAAAATCAAGGAGATCTACAAACATATGAAAATCTTGAAAATGGATAGCCGAGATAATGTGTTGCAAGATGTACTATTTTTTAGATTCAAAAACTGTTTTATTCATATTCATACATCTTGATGTGGAGATGATCAAATAGAGGGATTTTCAACATTAAAACAGCCTTTCCGAGAGATTTTTGATGTGCATATGTAATTCTACATTTTAAAGTTGCAACCTTATATAAATTTTTCCCATTTTTTAATTAATCTAAGTGTTGAATACTCGGCTTGGTAACGGGCCAAGTCCGAGTAACATGGCCAAGTTTTTTAACATTGTGTTTAACGGAATTTTGGTTAGTTTAAGAAGTACTAGGTCGTTCAGGTGATTTTGGTCATTTGATGGGAAAAACCAACATAAATTAATATCTCTAGCTGCTCAAAAAACAAAAAAACGAAAAACTACAAAAAAAATTGGAAAATAATTCCTGTATTACAAAATGTTCTATTTTTTCTTTTCTCAAAATTCACGCTCAAGTCCTATTTTCTCTAAATTTTTTATTTTTTCTAGTTTTACCCTTGATCTGATGGCTTGTAATTTACTTCACTTTTTTTTTTTTTTTTTTGGGGTATGTAGGGGTTTTTCTTATATTGTAGGGCTATCCAGGAGGCTAGGGGTCAGTCTATGTTTGAAACATTGGACCGACCAATAGTTACGTTATTTAAGATCCCAAACATCCAACAATCCTAACATATGTTACTTTCCTGTTTTAGGCCTGTTCAATATTTAGAATATCGAACTGGTGCACAACGGAAATGGCTTAAAAATGGGGTTGTTCGATGTTTGAAACATTGAACCGTTCAAGAAAAAAAAAATTGGTCTAATGTTGGCAATATTAGACGGAGGGCAAAGCTAAAAAAAAATTAAAAAAAAGTAGGACCTCCTCATAAATATTGGGAAGTATTAGAAAATACCGTTATTAAAAATTTTTTTCCAAAAAACTAATATCTATAGCTAGAGATTTTTTCCCTATTTCTTCAAGGGAATGTATAGTTCTCTCTTGTTTAGAGATGAAAAGCCATCATTGGACTGGTCAAGCTTAACAGAGCTCTCTCTCTAGGTTATCCAATATCTATGTACATATATGACAAAAATCAGAAATGTTTAAACTAAAAATTGACGACCTTCTCTACAATAATGGTGGCGGATTACCTATTGCATTTCTTGCCTTCAAGATAAAGCCGCATTCCTGTAACTGGTCTTTTGCCAACAGTTACCTGTAAATTGCCATATTACTATGTGAAGCCATCATGGGGAAGAAAAAAAAATCATTGAAAACCAACTAGGATAAATATGTTAAATGGTTTAAGAAATAGACACAATAGGCTATGGCTAGGGGTGGCAATGGGCCGCCCGGCCCAGTCCTAATAAAGTACGGCCTGGGTCATAAAATGTGGCCTGAGAGCAGGACTGGGACTGGGACTGGGACTGGGCCTGGGCCACAGCCACAGCCGGTCTGGCCTTTATTTCCACCTTTTTTATTTCCTTTTAATTTCTGGCTGGCCCTGACATGGCCCAAGCCTAAACTTCTTTGACAAAGAATGGGCCGGACCGGGCTAGGGCCATCACCACCCTGAGCTATGACCTCTTAACTTATTTGCTGGACATTATAAGTGTCCGTACATTGCACAACTTGAATTATAGTAAATGTATCATACATAAACCAGCTATACACCATGCGACCTCATTAATGGATGGTGGAGATTAGCTGAATGTGTTCACCATATTCCACTAGCAAAGGACCAGCTTAACTCCATCATCCATTGATGATGATAGATAGTGGATGACCGGTTTTTGTATCATGTAATATACATTCATAATGTATAATATGGTTTTCCGACCATATTATACATTAAATATTTTAATCGACTAAATTAAAGGAAGAAACGAAAATACTCCTACGAGTATAGAATGGGGTACCCAACATCCCCATCCATGTCTATTTATAACCACCCAAATTTTTTGCACGAATAGTTATTAAACACTTCCGCCCATCGAAGCATGACCTATAGCTGTTGGGTGAGGCTCAAGTGATTAGTTCCAGAACATGAAGTTGAAAATGAATGTAGAATAGGGCACTCAGCTTCACCATCCACTATCCACGAGATTGAATTGAAGTTATAAAAGTGGATGAAGAGTTGTTGTCTACTTTTATAACTGCTATGTCTTAATAGTAACAATTATTCAAGTCCACCGCTATGAATAACTATAGAAGATGAATGTTGGACTTGAGTACCCAAATGCTATAACATATATAGTACCCGGTTCCGAAGAGAAATCATACAAAAACACAGGCACACAAGCATTCATTTGCTTACCTGAGAGATGCTGATGTAGAGCTTGGGGCCCATTAGATTGAATTGAAGTGAAGGGTTTGGTAGAGCCCTGTTTGCTGAGGGCCCAAGTGGGAGGTCACTGTGAATTGGGGCCCATATCTTGTGAGATTGAAACTCCAGAAAGTATTGCATATCCTCTATAGGGGGCTTATCTAGAGAGTCACAAATAAGCACAAGATCAACCAAGTTTTAGAGAAATGTAATAAAAAGAATCGAAATTATGAAATCGAACTTTGGAGTATTCATATGTTTTTCTGCTATGTGCATCCACCGTCCATTCTTGATGATGGACACTGGAGATTAATTAGCCCGAAATATTCATCAGAAGTCATCTCTACCATCTTTTTGCTATGAATTATGGGCAAAGTTTATGAGAGCAAAGCAAGCTAAGTAGAGAACTTACAACGAAGGTAGAGGTTAATGGCATGAATCAAGAAGCCCTGTCCAGGCACTCCATCAAGAAGGGACGTAATGGGGATGAAACGAAAATTAATGGCATCAGGATTCTCGGCAACTGATAAAACCCATTCGCAATGGCTCCGGAGGCTCACATCCCCTCCCCTCTTACAACATATCACACTAACTCCCTGAAATGGCAAGGTTTGTCTTTCAAATTCATGTACTTTCTCCTTATCTGTCAGTTTTGATTTTTCCTTTTTTTTGTTGCTATAACAAGGAAATTACACTAAGAAATAGTTTTAAGGCTTAGGATTCATAATTTGCTCAAAAACCATTTTGATCATTCCAACTGAGAGAGGAAACAAAAAGGAAAAAACCTAAGCATGAATTTTGCCAGAAATCAGTCCCAAATCAACAATATTGCATGCTGTGTTAAACACCTGCCTGCTCACAAACACACATGTGTTTTTATTTTATATAATTTTTTTTTTTTTTGGAATGATTGTTATAATATCGTGTGGACTTACGTCTCGTCTTTGTGCAAGTGAGAATCCATCGAAATGCAATGGCTGCGGCCCAAAGATGTTGAAAGCCTCAGGAACCTGAACAAAATTCAAAAAAGCCATAAAAAATTAAATAAATAAACACTCAAAAAACAAAAACATAAATAGATTGAATTGGTCATGGAGTTAAAATCTTCAGCTTCTTGTACAGGTCCAAAGTCCAAAGTCCAAACCAAGGATTCTAATCGTCAATTAAATTTAAGTTGAAATTTGGGTTTCCGGGGGAAGGGTCTTTAGATATCAGTGAAAAACTAGCCAAATTTATTATACAAATTCAGACACAGGTTGGATTAAAAAGTTCTAGAAATTGTTCTCAATTATTAAGATGGGGTGGAATTGCCTCTGAAGTTCATCAAAATTGAGTTACAGTAAATGAATTTCAAGAAGTATCCAATAGGGTCCAAAACTAAGTATAAGCAATGTTATTTAGACTCGTGTGATAATTGGACCGGTCCAAAGCCGGTTGCCCTATTGGACCGATTTGAAAATTATGATTTTTTTAAAAAAGGGTGCAGTTTGTGTAGAGCCGAGGCTCTAAACAATCAAAGTAAAACGTACCTTCAATTAGTGTCGAGAAATGTGGTTTCAATACTGAAAATCTTTGTGATAGCATTAAAATATATTTTCATCTTTAATTATAAAATTTAAAGCTTAAAAAATAGTGTAGATCAAGCAGATCTATGAAAACTTGAAAATCTTGAAAATTGATGGTCCAAAAATGTGTTATAAGATTAACTATTTCTAAAACTTGCAATCCATTTTTTTCTCATGTCTATGCATCTTGACGTCTAAATGATCAATTTGAGAATATTTGGGTACCAAAACAACATATTGTAGTAAAATTTTTGAGGCAAGCTCTAATTTGATTGTTTAGACCCTAGGCCTTATAAAACTTTTTCCAAAAAAAGACAATAATAAAGGCACAGGTTCAGTTGAGAATTGGCCACCCCGTTCCGGTCATGTGTATATGTAGGAAGATGACCTAGTCTAGAAGGGAATTGGTGATTCTACATAGTAAAATGGCTATTTTTTACAATATGAGGGCGATTCAGACCGCCGATTTATCGATTCAGACTGGTTTTGTTGCTGTTTCAATGACTTTTCATGTGTTTTTTTGTCAATTCACTATTTTTTTTTGTTTTTTCTGTACAGTAAACAACGATTCAGACAAGTTATTGGGGTGCGCAATCCAGGTCACCGGTTGCTTTTAAATGACTGGTTGTAGTTGAATTTCAATAACATCACAGTCTTGTAATGTGAACGCAGAAAGTGTAAAAGCTCTCAACTTAACGCTCGAAGATGAGTACAAACAATGGTTTCCACTCATACAAGTCAAGCAAAAGTAAGAGCAAGCTGGGAGGGCCACAAATACATGGAGGGTCCATATCATTGTGCTCACACACATTGTATACCATATGTGTATGTGGTTTTATTTTCTTCGGATTAGAAAGTTCAAATATAGCACTAGAAAAATGGATATATCAAAAAGTAGGAAACGATATTCTCCCTACTCGCTAGGAGAAACATAAAAAGTATGCAAATTTTAAATTTTACATGGCCCAGGCTTTATGAAAAGAAAAGTAGGTAAAGCCTCCCCTTTTTGGAAAACACTTAGGGGGATGGGAAATCTTTACGATGGCCCTAAAATCAATTTTTTACTACGGATTATGAAATTTGCAGTTCAAAAATTGGTACACATCTTCTAGATCTATAAAAACTTGAAAATGGAGGTACCGGTAATGTATAATATAATATACATTATTTTTAAGGCTTGAAATCCTAATTTATTATCACAACCCTAATGTTTAAAGTTTGAGATGATCAATTTGAAGGTTTTCTAAAATGCAATTTTTGGACATTTTTAAGGTGATGCTTTACTTGTTTTGGTAGGGTTGCAGCCCTATCAAAACATTTTCATTGTGAAAAATAGCACTAAGGCCGTCATTTTCTTCTATAACAGAGGCCTCACCGTAGAAATGCAATCCAAATTCTCAAATGTAGACGTTAATGGAAAAAGAAAATCTAGCATCGACCAATACAAAATAGAAATAGTAAAACCCCAGAAGAAACTAGGGGTGCCTAAAACTTTAAAACAGTTCGAAGTACGGGTGGTAACTGGTCGGTCCGGCGGACCCGGACCCAAAAATATGATATGGGAATTGGAAATTTCTTCCATTATATTCAAAATTAAGTTGTGGAAGAAGATTATCATGTTGTCCTATGTTTCCAATGAACCAATTAATGGAATAAAACTATTATTTTAACCCTATAATTAATGGAATGAAATTAATATTTAAACCCTGTAGTTGTAGTAATGGAGGAGTGATGAGACCTTGTTCTTGTATTCTTTCTTTTTCCAATGGAGGGGAGAGAGTGCACAAGAGCCAGTGAAGAGCTGGTCTCCTAGGGTCTCCAAGTTCTTCTTCAATTCAGATGTCTCCAGACTCGAACCATGGTCCTGACGCGCCAAAACCAAGTCTTCTCCTCCAATGCTTACACCTACTAGTATGTGCGTCCCAAACCTTTCAATAAACCTATACATAGGAGCTCTTTCTTAGTAAATCTATAAAAAAAATTTCATTTTTCATAGTAAAGACATATCAGACAATCACTTATTCACAACCCTTGTGTGGGGCTAGGCCAAAATACACCAAAAAGCCCAGCTAGCTCCTCTATCAATATTTTTTTTCCCCTGTAAATGAGCCCTTCTAGAGCAAAATTATACATTTATTCCTTTCGGCGTAAGAGCTACTTCAGAAAATTTTTTTCATATATGAAACAGTAGGATCCAATTTATAATAGTAGTTGAGAGTTTGCAAAATTTAAATTTGGATTTTGAACACTTAGATCTTACGGTTCAAAAAATTAAGGGTGTATTCATTTACATATACAGGGCATATGAGTTTCTTTCCTTCTTTAAATTTGGTCGCGGGGTTGAGGAGATTATATCACTAAATTTTGTTAATAAAAATGCTCGATAAAATTTTGCTTGAAAGAGTGAATGGACAATATGCTCCCAAAAGAGCATGAGAGATTTTCGGGCTTTAAAAAGTAAGGGGAGCTGATGAGGCAAGATAGGGAAGGAGGATAGGTTATAGGGATAAATTTGTAAATGTTGGAAGTTGTTTGTGGTTGCTCATTAATCTTGAGTTTGCTCATCCTAGCATCGCGAGGGTTGGAAAAAAACTTTGACGATGATGATGATCCAACTTAAAGAATACTAGGTCGATTTTAGGGGTAATTTTGTAAATATTGGTCATTCGTGGTCAATATCTATTGGTCTACTTGATCTTAAGAAATTTTTTGAATTTTGTTAAGCTTTTATTTATTTATTATTTTTATTTAATTTATATATTATTTTATTTTATTACTTAACTTATTAATATATTCTATATCTATAGATTTCTCTAGAAAAAGACAAATTTATTAAGAAAAAAGTTTATATAAAGTTGCAACTTTAAAATGTACAATTATATATGCATCTAAAAAATCCATCGAAAAAAAGGTTGTTTTAATGTTGAAAAACTTTTAATTGACTATCTCGATATCGAGATGTTTGAATATGAAAAAAAAAAAATATTGAGTTCCAAAACTAGTGCATCTTGAAATACATTATCTAGACAGTCCAGTCAATTTTCAAGATTTTCACAAGTTTATAGATCTACTTGATTTTAACCATTTTTGGAGTATAAAATTTTATAATTAAATATGAAAGTTAGATTTTGAGATAATCATAATAATTTTTTTATCAAAATTACATACAATTAAAAAATTTGGATGTGTGCCTTAATTGGATTGTTTAAGGTTGCAACCTTAATACAAATATTTATAAATGGGTGTGTTTTGCATAGGGCCTAGTCTCTAAACAATCAAATTAGAGCCTACCTTCAAATAGTATCGAGAAATGTGATTTCAATACTGGAAATCTTTGTGATAGCCTTAAAATATATTTTCATCTTTATTTATAAAATTTAAAGCTTCAAAAATAGTGTAGATTGACAGATCTATGAAAACTTGAAAATTTTAAATATTAACGGTCCAAAAATATGCTATTTCCAAAAACTTGAAATCTATTATTTTTCATGCATATGCATCTTGACGTCGAGATGATTAATTTGAAGGTATTTGAGCATTAAAACAAACTCTTTTAGTCGAAATTTTTGAGTTACGCTCTAATTTGATTGTTTGGAGTCCGGCTCTACGTAAATTTTTCCCTTTAAATACGCTCAAAGACGCAAGCGTCCCATCTTCATGTGGAAAGGAAGGGTCCCATCGAATATTTACGCAAGAGAGCGCAGCGCGTTAACCACTCAAATCTTTTCACAAAAAGTAAACGTCCACTCCTCTTCCACTTCAAACGAAACCCACCGCTTTAACCAATCAGCACGTGTACTATGCTCTTTCGGGATCATAGTTTATTTCTATTTTAAAAAACCTGCGAGGAAGAATTTTTTTTGTTTGAAATTTTAAAAACCAAACTAGATATTGTTCTCGAAAGAATAAAAATTTGAAATTTGAGTTTTCTACCACTTAGATCGCACTATCTAAAACTCTGATGGGCTCTTTTCAATCTTGAGATATTTTCTTCTTTTTAAGTGTATAGAGGTTACAATTAGGATTTTTTTTCTTTTTTTTCTTTTATTGAGTGGTTGAAGAGATTACATCTCAAAAATTTTAGGGTCCTAAAATTAATTTTAGGTGCAGTTTTAGCCGAAGGACTAAATGGGCATTATACTCTCACGGATTTGTGATATATTTGAGGAGCGCATACTAAGTTCCCTTGGAAGTTTAGTGGGCAGGCAATGGGCTGGGCCAGACCTGGCCCTGGCCCTAACGCAACCCTAGTCTCAACAAACGCTTGCCCTGGCCCTGGCCCTGGCCCTAGCCCAACCCTAGTCTCAACAAACACTGGCTCTGCCTGCCTGATGCTCGGGCTATACTTTATATAGCCCAGGGCTAGGGTTTTGGACCCGGCCAAGCTACCTGCCTATTGCCACCCTTTCACCATTTGAAAGAGGAATCTCTCTCTAAAATTCGAAAGAGAAATATCTCTGTCCCTTTAATTAAGTAGAAGATGGAGGAAAACCTTGACCAAATTTTTGTTTTAACATGAGGATGAGAAAGGAGGGCAAATAATGGAGGATGGAGAGAGAGAGAGAGAGACCTTGCAATGGCGGCCGGATCCCAAGTTGCAGGGACTGAACTTTTAACAAAGTGGCGAAGAACGAGAGGGAAGCGATGGAGGGTGAGGGTGTAGAGGTGGATAAAGTATCCATCAAAGGCCAAGCTCTTTGTTTGTGCTGCATCGGTTGCCCATGAATCGCTGTTGAATCCAAACATCGAATTGAAGTATCCCGACGGTATTTTTCCCGGCAACGAACATTTGCGGTTGAAGCATTCCGACATCTGTGTTCAACATTCATGCTTCTCAATCTATAACCATACAAACATTTGATAGAGAAAGAGAGAATTCACTCTTTAGAGAGATGAGAGACCATTGTCTCTTTGTTTCTTGAAAAGAGATGCATTTTCTCCAAAATTAACTCACAGACATACTACACACAGAGGGTGTTCCCCCTTTTAGAGAGAGAAGCGATAGTTTCCTCTATATTTCTTAGAGAGAGAAATTTTGCTCAAAATTAACTCACAGGCATAATACAGAGAGAGAGAGATTTGAATGTGTCAAAATTAGGTTAGGATAGCAGCTGCAAGCAAGCAAGCAAGCAAGCAAGCAGAGTGGTTGACTTGTGAATCCAAAGTAATGAAATATGATCGGTAAGGTCACGTTCCTCTATTAACTGCGTGAGAAACTTAAATACCAAAACCTGAAAATCAATGAAATGAAGGCTCATTCAATATGAAAAATCATTATGTGATTGAAATTAATGGAAATATAAATGGAGGATTATGTCTATACTATAGAAATAATCAGTGAGCCATCAAAACACTAAAAATTCTACAAACTTCTTGCAATTTTCAGAATAGGAAAGGGATAAAACTACATAAATTTGAGCACCTAAATACCAGAATTATTTGTTTTTGTGTGTGTGTTAGAGAGAGAGAGAGAGAGAGAGAGAGAGAGAGAGAGAGAGAAGAAGAAGAAGAAGAGA